ATTATTACCTACTATTTAACTAGGTGTAACCCTTTTTGTAATTTCAGTTTATGAAATAGTACTGATTTTGGTTTTAGAAAAACTAGTCTAGCAAGTCTTTTCACTTTATACTTCCTAGTCTTTTACACTCTTAGATAACAGTGACTAAGGATTATTCTGATTTTCTCCTGTTGTATGTTTTATCAGTTTCATGCAAAATTTTATCGCTTCCCTTTATCACATTTATTTCCTCGTGGTAGTTGTATTTAGCTCATTTATGTTTCTATATTTTGAAACATGATATTCTATCTTCTTAAACTCATATGCCTGTGTTTCAATATGTATTATGAAAGTCACATTTCATGTAACTCAGTTTGGTGACTGTACTTTGCAGATACTTAATATATTTACTAACTCAGTAAAATTATATCTTTTTTTTAATTAGGCTAGGAATTATGATCTCTGTTTTACAGATTACTGTTTGAGGATTTTGCAACTGTTTCTGTGGGAGCCAAGGCATAAGTTTCATGTTTTGCTTTGTCAGCTACTTGGCTGCTCTTTATTTTGTGAGGTGACTAGACCTTTTGGCTCATTTATAAGAATTATTCTGTCCTAAATCTGTTTCTTTCATATCAGTTAAAGTACTGATTTACTAGTTGTTTTTTTTTAATTTTGAAATTTGAATAAAATGGTTCATCAGCTATACCATTTCAAACCATATTTTTTCTAAAGTGTACCACTGATTTCACATTCATCTTAGTATTATTCATCAATGTTTCTTTGCTGAGAAAAGTCATAGATTCTGTGTCATCAAATATTGTTATATTGATAAAACATTTTATGTATATTATATTAACAAATGATAGGTGAAATACGGCTGTCACTTTATTTGTGATAGATGCATTTCACCTATATATTTGATTACTAACTTAGGTTAGACTACAATAGATAGACCCTGAGCTAAGAGAATGCTGTAATTCAGGATACTAAAATTCAGAAGAATATAGCTTTTCTTCTTTAGTTTTCTTAATAGAACCATTTCTA